AGCTACAAAGGACAAAAGCCACTCAGAATCGCAACTGGCTGAGGAGGTGTCCAGATGCCAGGTGGCCTTCTCAGCAGAGACTCGTGTCGGGAAGATTCCGTCCACCCGCACCTACGGTGCCTGGGGGCATCGGAATGACCTCCCGAACTGCAGGGCTGGGGTGGGGGACATGGGCCAGCGTCAGCACTGGCTGATCAGACTCCTCAGTCCCATGACCCAGGCCGGAAACTGGAACCAGTTTTGCCGTCTCGTTTGCTGTCATCCCGAGAGCGAGGCATCACCTCTGCACCTCTCCCTAACGCTCAGCTCCTGCCTCCAACACGGGGTCCGACCCCTCTTGCCTTAGCACAGCCTTAGTAGTGCCTCGGCTCGCCCCGACTGCAGCCCAGCCTCCACATTGGCCACCTGAGATTCCTAACACTGACCTGATCGTGTCACCCACCCACTCCCCAGCTAGAGCCTTCAGTGGCTCCCGGCTGCCTCTGGCAGCAAGTTCCTGGCCTCCTCAACCTAACCAGCACGTGGTGGGCAGAAGTCATCTGATGACTTTTTAGACAGACAGGAGGCCGGCTGTTAGCCAAGAAGACAGAGATGATGTCTGCTGGGTTCCACCTATGCCCCCAGTGCCTGGCACAGAGAAGGCAAATAGCGACTGATTCAAATTGTATATTTCCCCAAGGCATCAAGATTCTCTTTGCAGATCCAGCTCCTAATGCATTGTGAGCACAGCATGAATATTTGATTATGTTGAAATATGATGTAGGAGAGACTAGAGTATCATGCAGACATCAGGCGAAGTCACTGTTTATGTAACTTCAGAGGTATTAACCCATTTCAGGAAGATTTCTGCTGATCAGGGGAAGACAGTCCAAGGGGACCTGGGTTCCTGAGCCCTGTGGACCTGGACAGAGAGAAGCTGATGAAGGAGCAGCTGGATCAGCATGAGAAAGCCGCCTACTAACTGAGAGGACCTTACAAGGAGGCTCAAAACAGGGAGGATCACTCACATATTCACAGCATGGCAAGGTTAGGCACCAGGCAGTGAGCGCTGGGTTCAACCCTTGCCCCTGCTCCATATCCTTGGTCAGTGATGTGATGGGGGAGTTTCCTTACTTCCCAAATGTTATGACTTTGTGAAATTAACACATGTAGGTGGAGCACAGGGCACCCGATGGTGGACAGAGGTTTAACAACAGACCACAAGAGCAACTGAAATAGAGAAATTTGTTACTCACAGGTCCTGGAGGAGGTCCACAGCATGCCTGGAGGAGCCATACAGGAGGTCAAGGCAGAGTACAGACAGAGGCAGGACCTGGGGCATATGCCTTTGTCAGGATCTCTGGGTGGGGTGCTTTGGGGTTCCCAGGCTAGGGCTGGATTGGTTAATTCAAGCCAAAAGAGTGAGATTTTCCTAAGCCCCATAGGGGTCTTATCTCAGGGGCGCACAAGGCATACGGGCACTGGAAGGCAGGAGAGTCTGTCGATCACAAGATCGGATGTTTGCTCGTGACTCGTGGGCTGCTACCTAGGGTGTGTGTGTGTGAAGGCGCTAGTGTCCATTTAAGTTCTCTGCAGGCCGCTTGGCCAAACAAAATGGATGCCAGGGCAGCAATATCATGGGTAGCTTAGCTGAACTCTCGACAGGGAGACACCACCGTGAGGCTTCCATGCTGGAAGGCCAACGAAGGGCCTGGTGTACGGCCCGGCCCAGAGGAGGTGCCTGTTCTGTGTTTTCTTCATTTCTGTATTGGTCTATTCGGCCTCCATTCCTCACAGGACCAATTATATTAACTAGATTTTCTTTTCTTTACTCTTTTCTTTTCTTTTCTTTTGTATTCTTGATGCTCTGGCATTTGGGGGCCTTACAGACCCTTCCCCTCCCAAAGCTTCCCAATTCTTAGGAGTAGCAAAGGGAGAGCATCTTTCATGTGCAAACCAGCCAGTCCCTAATCACCTCTCATCTGATCCCCATCAAGCCCCAGGCCCAGACACCCTCGTGGACCCTCCACCCAACCCGTTGCCTGGCGGATTCTTCCCAGCATCCCTTCCCCGGAGCTGGACCAGACCAGCCTTGTCAGAGTTCTGGAAAGCACGGAACACAGGTGCAATGAAGTAGCAGGTTCTGCAATCACCTGCTTGATGTTTGCTCCTAGGGTCAAGCCCCGTGAAGGCAGGCGGGGGCTGGCTTATTCGGCCAAATCTGTCACACACACAGGAAGCAACTGCTGTTGCCAAATGAGCAATAGGTTTGAGACCCATAGGTTTGGTTTCCTTGGAACCAGGCGAGGCAGGACTCTGGGATTCTCTGCTCCTAACTTCACTGTGCCCCCACCAGGTCAAGTTCAAGGAGCACAGGAAACACAGCTCTCCAGTGCTGCCCTCCCGTATTTCCTTAGCCAGCCCACCACTGGCAAAAATGCCAGTTCATTCCAATCAGGTCTGTAAACTTGCATTGAACACAAGCTGATACTCAGCACGTAAAGAGTTGACCAGGTGTCTGATATTTTCAGAGCAGTTACTGCCATTGTCCTAATCACAGAAGTAACCCATGCTTGTTGCAGAAAACACATACACACAAATAAAACTAAAATCATCCATAACCCCGCACCCAGGGAAAACCGTGGCTTTGTATTCTGGTCTTTGCTCTTCTGGTCTGATATGGCTGTGGGCAGATAGTGTGAAGTGAAAACACGTTTTGGCTACACACCTTGGATAGCAATGAAGCCTCACAGAGCCTGTCAAACGTGCAGAAATAGCTGGAGTCAAACCAGTGAATCACCAAAGTGGTTGTTAGTAAAAGTTGATTGTGTCCACACTGAAAAGACAGTTCTTGAACCGAGAGCACTCAAACCAAAACAGGGAGTAAGGCTCAGGGTACATTAAGCAGCTCATATCGTGAGGATGCAGTGACTGTTTATTCTTCACCATGACTGGTTATAATTTAGAATTTTCTTAAATGATGAGGCTTGGTTAGTGGATCCTTCATGTCAATTTTGGGAAACATTTGAAGTTGTGCTTTTGAATTCCAGCGGCATAAGGAAGGAATGACCCAGGCCAAGTTAGTTCTTTTTTTAACATTTTTTATTGATTTATAATCATTTTACAATGTTGTGTCAAATTCCAGTGTTCAGCACAATTTTCAGTCATACATG